CGGTGTTTACCTCTGCTCTAAGTTTTGTTTCAGCTCAGGCTAAATGGTGGGAATATGTTAAACAACGGCTCATGCACGATGCACGTGTCCTGCGTCATCGATCATGTTTACACTCTGAGGACCAACGAGTCCAAAGACGATAGATGATCATAGCAGCCGGTGTTGTGCCTCTGCTGGCCCTCTGTGGTTTTACAGTGTTATCTGTGCCTTCCTTGTCCTAATGATTCATCATTACTGTCAATCAGCCTCCCAGGGTTATTTAACGCTGCAGCGGCAGACACCGAGTGCACCCAGAGTTTACTGCTCCACACCACTTCTTCTGTGTGTGCACGAGTTTTGGATAAAACAAATGTGGTCTGTAATTTGAAATTTTTTACTTTTCCTGTGCATAAATTGCATTTCCACATTTAAACTTTCACTCCTAAATATCCACTCTGAAACACACCCTGCCAAATGTGCGGCTGACGGCTGAGTGGAATTTGAAAGCCGTGGCTTTTTCAGTGATGATGAAACGTTCCTGTTTTTCTTTTTCACTCCCGCTCCCTCTTTGTGGTTCAAAGGCACCAGAGTCTGTTCTCATCACAGGAACTCTGTAAGGATTTGCGCTGAAAGATTGACACGGAGGATGATGAACGCTACGATACCGTGGGGGAAAGTGGCCAGGTATGAGAGCGAGCGTCTGGTCTTTGTAATGGAAATGAACAAAAACTTTAACTCTGTGTCAGACTTTCTTTCTTTCTTTCTTTTTTTTTTTAGATCTAACCACATTTATAACTAATATAACCTCCCAACCTCTTGACAAGATCAATTGTTGAAATCGCTCGTGTTAAATCCAACCCTCTGAGATTAAATCTAATTCAATCTCTAACAACAGGAAAGTTAAATTATCGACGTCCTTTGTGCGTTTTCTGGATTACAGAGATTCTCGTGAAGTCCGTGTCAGATGGAATTCTGCAGGACTTTGGAATCGGCTCTAATCCACAGAGGATGTGGAATAAAAGATGTTTGTATTTGAATTGTGTTTGCCTGGATCACTTCCACTTCTGATCGAGGGCTTTGGAGACGGGAGAATGAAGAAGAAAAACCACGATATCCCACAGTTCATTATGTGAGAAGATGCTCCAACAGGAAAGTCCGACTGTAATCCAAGGGAAGCAGTGCAGAGACCAAATGGAAACACTGCAAAGAGAGAGAGAGAAGGGGCGGGGAGAGGGGAGAGAGAAGTCAGGCTGCGGCCTGCAGCTTAGTCTTACTTTTTTTCATAAATCTTATATCTGAGCATAGGGTCCATTGCTCGGCATTTTAAAAGCTGCCGATAAGGGGCATTATCTTTAAGTGCAGCCTTCTAGGTGGAAAAAAAGAGCTTCAAAGGAGCCACGATCCATCAAAGTTAGTTACATGTTTCATTCTCAGTGTGAAGCACGAGACGAATAGATCTTCTGCCTACTCGCTCACTGTTGGTGACATTTTGCATTAGAATGTATTTCATACACAGGTGTTTCAGTGCGGATTCACCTTTGCAACCGACTGAGGAATGGGAAAGAATTTCAAGTTATTTCAAACAAAACTTCAGCAGCACTGAGAAACTTAAAGGGACAGTGTCACCATTCTGAACCTCTTCTGCCCCCCCCCCCCCCCCCCCCCCCCCCCCCCATTACATCCCCTGAGGTAATGTGGATGAAATAGAGGAGAACAAGAATGATATGGCGAGAGCTCACAGTTACACTGACATGATGAACGCTTCACTTGAGCTACAATTTCTTTGTGTACTTCATTTTTGTTTAGTTTGGTATTGCTTGTAGCATTCTGTACTGCATGTAAAAACAGGTGGTTCACATATTAACATCTCTGACATATCGACCTAAGCCTGAGGTAGTAGTTTCCACAACTACTATGTTTAATAATCTGCCAAAATCTGGAAATATGACGTCACGAAGCAGATGTGTTCAGAAAGGTTTTCAACGTTCTTCTGAAGCTTCTTCTTCTTCTTCTTCTTCTTCATTGTTCTGAAGCTTCTTCTTCTTATTATTCTTCTCAATACTATTTATATGAAAAACCCACTCAGAACAGGGCATTTACACACATGTCTAAAGAAACCTAGCTTGACACAATCTCTTAGTTTTTCCACTGAAAGGATGTTTTACTAACATTTTGTGTTGACATCAAGGAATCATATTGCCTCCTGCATCCATCACCGTTGGCGACCTCTGACTGCACGTCTCCCTCCTGTCTTGCTGTCTTCATACCTGCTCCATTCACTGCATTTACTGTGAACGCACCGTCACACCACATTTGTCTACTTTTTGGCCACTCCAGACTTTCTTACAAAGTATCAGTTTTCGTGAGTTTAGATCAATAATGTTTTCAGATGACATGCACGCAGCATCGTGAAACCCCAATAGCGTACAGCTATTGTATTTATCAGTGTTAAGTACAGATCAGTGGATCAAAGATACTGTGATACTGTGATAATAATAAGTACACAATATGTGTCAGTTGTTGCCTTGGTGAGCAGAGACAAACTACTAGACATATATACACTTGTTTACTCGTCTGTGTTTCATCTCTGTATCTATTCCAGATTCTATTTCGCGGTGGGTTACGTCAACAAAGCCTCGGAGCTGTCACTGTTTCAAACACTGTTTGCCTTTTGAGGTCTCTTTGGCAAATACTGTTGTTAAATGATTTTTCACAGCTTGACACCCACCTATAAATGTATGTGCGTTGGGGAATATAGATACAAATGTGTCATTATATGTGGAACTTATTTCCTTTCACCTTCTTAATTATTTATTTGCTTATTTTCCCGACATCCGGGACTTCATTCTGTGCACGTTGAGCAACATTGCAAAGTGTCGAGGATGTACAAACAACTCACACCGGATGACTTTGACGCTGAGGAAAACTTAAAAAAGTGATGATTCTCCCTTAACTTGTGGAGTTATGAGGATCATATTTCCTCCACGATTCCTAAGTGGATTTGTGGCAGTTGATTCACGATGGTCTTTTGGAGATATTGTATCCTTGGGAAGTGTAAGTCACATTGAGTCTGGGAAAGTGTGTTCAGCTTTGAGTGAATTATGACTCGGCCAGGACAATACTTGCCTGAAATTTCATCCCTCTTACTTCATACCATGCATCCAAATTAAAAAAAAACACACACACACACAACTTAGTCTGGACAGTGATGAGAGTAGTGAAAAATGTCATATCTGTTTCCATAAGTGACACCAGTGGCTATGACATTGTCATGACAGGGCTGTCATCAGTCTGATTTATTTTTGAGGGAACCTGTGAATTCATCACAAATGATAATTATCAATAATGACTGTAATTATTCACAATGATTTACAGCCATAATACATCACAAATGATCATGATTAATCATGACTTTTATTAACCATGAACAGTCATGGCTGGAATTAATCACGATTTATCATAACCATAACTAATCATGATTAATCATGACTGTAATCAATTAAAATAAATCATAACTGTGATTAATCGTGATTAATCATAATCGCAAGTAATCACGATAAATTAACATTTCTAAATATGAACAAAAAACAGTTTTTTTCTGTTATATATAACAGCAGGTGGGTGTTCACTTTCATGCCAGTTTGGAAATGTCAAGAAAAATGTGCAAAAGTGAAACTAAAAAATGTTGTTTCACAGAGTTAGAGGTGTCTACAGACACTGATGATCTGGAGTTTCACACTCTACAAATGCATGCTGGGTGTATAATTTTAATCGATTAAAGCAATAATATCAAGAGCCCTAGTATTTACAGCTCCAAGACCAAAGATACCCTGGCTGGACTGCTCTGTGATGACATGTTTCTATATTTTTCCTGATCCTTGATCATCCTTGAAACATGTGGCATTTCCCATGCCCTTACACTGTGGACTCTGTGAGATTCTCAGAGGAAAAGGGCAGACGTTTCAGAGTCTCTCAGATTCACAGTACATTAAGGCTTTTCAGCAGACAGAGTTCCACGCTTAAAAAAAAAAAAAAAAAAAAACTAGTATTAATGTGAAAACAGCAGCGGTAAGAACCTTTGTGTTATTGAAGACCCTTGAGATCCGGACCGTTCGAGTAGCCACTCACAAACACAAATGTGTTTATTGCTGTATAACAATGGTGAGAATGATGCTCCAGTGCTGAGGGACTGTTGGTTTGTTTGTTCTTGTTTTAGCTTTTCCTGCTTTCTTTGGGTTCAGATTTAAAATATAATGAAGTACTTTTTATAGTAGTTTTTTTTTATTACTCATTTTGTTGAAATGTCACTGCTTTGACAGGAAGGAGAATCGTTACAGACAGTTGTGATTCACTTCCTGGTGAAATTCAAATTGAAATATGAAGCAAGCCAGTGTTTCAAAGTCTGCTTTATATTCTCAACTGTTGGTGGCAGAGTAAGTGCAGTACGCAGTGGAGGGTGGGGGGGGGGGGGGTGGGGCTGGGGCTCATACTTTAAATGTTCACTTTATCATAATCTCCACCAGGGGCTGTCCAAGCTTCACCCTCCATTCACCCATTCATCCCTCACTGGTGCATGAAAATGGATAAAAGGGATAAATGAGAGTGAGGGGTGAGGAGAGGAGAGGAGAGGGAGGGAGGTGACACCAACTCTTTTGGGTGATGGGAGTTTAACGTGTTCACAGACACAGTACAGAGTATTTTTAACATAAATAAGCAGAGGTGTTTTATTCCCATTGTAGTCTAAGCTAAATCCAGTGTAAATGAGCAGATGGTCTCAGTGGCGTTCTGCAGGAATATGGAGAACGTTAGGATTGCATGTGGAAGAACTCAATGTCCACATGTGCAATATATGTACCGTGTCTGTAAAGCAAAACAACAGAACCAGTTTCCTGGTGTTTCATTCTCTTCCTTGTGTCATTGAGCATTTTCCTTTTTTGCTTAAAACCTATTTTCCTAACGCTGGAGGAACGGCGCTGTGATTGGACACAGATGGGATTTTTCGTGGTCATATCAAACATCCCACACAGTGTTACAGTATATTTAGCCCAGCTCTGACTCCTCAGCAGAAACTATTTCAACGCTTTATTTCCAGTGTGTGAGTGTAACGAGAACCAAAGATGAAATTGATAATAGAAGCCGCCTGACGCGTTCATGAATTACTTACATTTACGGCGCAGTGCAGTGACTCAACATAAGGCGTCTTTGAATTACCTCTGGTGTAACAAGCCGCAGCCTGGCTGTGAGATGCATCCAGATTTAGATATTTATCATTGTTTGTTGATGTGGTGGTGCAGAGATTGAAAGGAAACTCACAGAAATGATTTAGTTAAACATGTGTGATGGGAGTGACATCCGCTCTCCCTCTCACTTTTTTACTCGTATTATTTTACCGTCTAAGTGTGAATTCCGACAGCCGTGCTTTTGATTTAAAAAGCCTCGTGTGTCCAAGGAATTGAAAGAAAAAATATATATATCATTTGTGTGATTCCTCTGAAGAGGCTTTAAAATGTTGTGGGGAAAATGCCCTTGACATTCCATCCGTCTATTAAGTGGATGCTAGTGGGGGAAAGTGGTGGCAATAATTATAGCCTGGTGACAGCAGTAGCTCATCTGTGGGCAAAAGTGTTTTTCCCTTCATTTTTTTTTCTCTCTCTTCTGTCGGTTTGTGTTCAGAAGAGGCAACAATGCTCAACCAACAGGATTTTTTTATTTTATTTTCTTTGGTGTTATTTTCTATTTTGTTCTGTGGTGCAATATCGTCTGTTTCTCTGTTCTGCGCAGCACACTGCAGAACCACTGCAAAGCTATGTTTGATCTCATGAAACACAGGATGAAAGGTTGCTCACCTTTAATCCACAGTGTGACTTCACTTCGCTTTTTCGACAAGATCTCATATTTTCCTGGGAAAAGTCAATAAACAGAGGAATCTGTGTTGACTCTCAAGCTAGTGTGACGGAATCCCTCAGGATCATATCCTCGGGCTCTTTAACATGTGAAGTAAGAACTGGAGGGACCCTACGTTTGATCCTGCTCCCCAAAAAGTCTTGCATGCGTAATTGATTATTACAAATTACTTCATATAATAGAAATTACCCATGAAAGAGGGTCTGGGGGGAAAGAGGGGGCACAGGAGTGAGAGCAGTGGGATTTCAAGAAATCTCCATTATGTACCTTAAGAAAACTGATTAAATTACACACCAAGTTTAGTCTGCAAAGTAAACAATGTTGTCATGTAATATATTTATTTACATTACTTTGAAAAGCAACATATGTTATGTTTTTATTTAATTGTTGAAATTTGGATCAGGTATTAGTAACTGTTTTGTTAGATAAAATAATCCTGGCTCCAGTAACTCAATAAATATTTTTGTTAAGTTAAAGAAAATCATTAATTACGCTAACAATCAGGGTATAAATAAGTATAAATCCTTTGAAAACTGCATTTTTGAGGTTGAAATGTAATGTAATTTCCTCTGCAGTCAAGTTAAAACTAATGGGATGATGCATTAAAATATTATTACGTTTTTCTCTTCATGCAAAGTAATTTACCGATAGACCATCAAATTTCTCTCTTGACGCTCTTTGATTTCCAAAAGGTTGGGAATGATATTTAGTGTGAGGAATTTGGCCGTCCAGGTTTTTTAGTGCGAAGTGCAAACATGTGCCTCCCATGAGGGAAACGCTCCCAATGTTTACAGCTGTCCTCGGTTGACATCCTTTTGATTGACAGTACACGGCAGACGGACAGAGAAAGGAACAGCAGGCAGATCAGATTAATAAAAATGCAGGGATTTTGTTCAGGATGCTGCAGGTATTTGGTATGCACATGGATAAGCTGGACCCCTAAGGCATTGTAGATACCAATCATCCATCATGAATACAGTACCTTCCTATTCAGGCTGCGGGGCGTGTTACTTCATTTCAAGTTCATGTCAAACATTAATACGTTTTACAAGATTTAAATGGCCAGATGCTGATTATACTAAAATATCCTGTGGACCTAAGAAGTCCTGGATTTTTTAGCATAAAATCCACCCAGGTGTTACTGCCATTGCATAACAACAGGCACTGACTTGATAAAAAAAAAACATTCGAACAACTAAATTAGTGGACACAAGGTTACGTACCCTTTGAAGCGTAATCCCATCCTCACCTTTAGAGTTAGTTACAAACAAGTCGGCCGCAAGTCTTCTGATGTTTGATGGAAGAAAATGATGAAATGTGAAGAATTCAAAGTTTCATTAAAGCCAACGTGGTGTTAAAACATTTACCACTGGCTGTGTTTCATCTGATGTAATATTTTGAAGGCCTGTTTGTCAGGTGGCTTTGCAAAAATCCACTGGCCCGGGGCGCCGGGGATCCGTGCATCTCTCTCGCAGCAGCTGCGGACAGCTTACAGAAAGCGAAACAGCCCGAGAGCTGCGATGTTTGCGGGCAGATAAACACGGACTTGTGTCCATATGGTCTCCGTCTCCACCACTGCCGGCACAGCCGAGGTGGAAACGTTTGTTTGTTTTAGGGCTTCCTTTTTATCAGCCGCGGAACTCGATTGTTCTTAAGGCGGAGGATAAAGTGAGGAGCGTTGTTGAGCTGAACACCTGAGCGTAAGATGCAAAAATAGAACGTGCCCATCTGTGACGCTGAGGCATTGTATTCACTGGAAATATTACCCTGCTGCGGCAGTAGTTTTGGCAGCAGAATTATGTCAAGATGTGGTTTCTGATGGAAAAATGGCTTTAGATGTGATTGAAGGGAATCACAATTAAAATAAGAGATGATGTGTTAATCTTAGGAAAAAAACGTTTTTTTTTTAGCTTTATCTTTTTAAAAACACCGCACACATGGCATTAAACGGGCCACGAGCCCACATGGTGCCGGTTTCTGCACCAGAGGCCTAACGCGCTTAAATGTGTTCTTTGTCGTGAGCTTCATTGTTTTACGGCAGCAGACAATGTGGGGCAGTGTCTACATGCTGCCGTTTCATAGTAGAAAGTGGAACACTGGAGCTATTGTGCTTGTCACCTCCCAACTCCCTGCATCCTCAGCAGAAGTGCTGACAGAGGAGAGGTCACAAATAGAAGAGCTGCACTGGGGGGGGGGGGGGGTTAAACATGACACTGCACTTCTTTCAAATCAGATTCAAGGAAAATAATGCAGACCTAGTCTGTGGAGAAAATCTGGTGCATCATTGTCATGGGGAAGGGTTAATGCAGGCCACAGTGGGCCCAGGTATGGAGATGTTAGTTTGGAGGGAAAGGTCATAGGTCATTTATTTTCTTTTGTATAAATATTGATGATGACTCATCAGTCATTGTTCTGTTGTTTATTATGATTATTGCAATGATGATTATTATTGTTGTAATTTCTAGCCAATTTTGTAGCAATTAATTATTATTCTTTTTTTAAGTGTTAAGTGAGGTTTAAAAGTATTTTCACTTTTTGCTTTTTTATTTTGTCTGTTGTGTACAGTTAAGATAAAAGTGGTTACAGTGGATAGGTTTCGTGCCTTTGTTTTTTATCTCGTTGACGACTGGTCTTTTAAACCTCAGTATTGGTTACAGTAGATAGGTTTCGTGCCATTGTTTTTTATCTCGTTGACGACTGGTCCAATCCCTGGTGCTAACAGACGATCATTCAGTGTGGAGTTTACATTATCTCCACTGTCTGCATTGGATTTCTCCTCCATTGTCCAGCAGCATGCAGGAGTACGATGATTTTTCACTCTTAATTAACCACAGGCCCGACTGTGAGTGAGTGTAAACGGTTGTTTGTCTTTAAATGTGGCCTCTAATCGACTGAACAACTGTCCAGGTCGCCCCCCCACCAACTCGCATAAAGACCACTGGCATTCACTGCAGCTCAGCCCCCTGACCATGAGAAGGATGAAGTGGTCCAAGATAAACAAATGAATAATACTGTAGTACAGAAATACTTTTTATGGCACTTCTGTGAAGGTGTAGCAACATTTATGGCACTGCTTTTGTACAACAGTACAGTAGTGTTCTGTATGTGCCAGGGGGTCTGCCTGGAAATCCAGTTTTTCTTGTTAGAACATTTCTTGTAATCACATATCCATAAAGGGCACTTTTCCACCTTTAGTCACGTCACTTCAACTTTCAGGAATGCAGCGCTCATTCCTCACCTTTGATTTTTAATTTTGGGGGAGGGGGGTGAGGTTGAGGGGTGCTCAGAAGGGGCCTTGTAAATGCTTTGTGAGTGAGGTCTGAGAAGTGGCCGCAATGTTTTAACAGCAGAGCTTGGTCATAGACAGAGTCAGCCAAAAGAGTAGACGTGTGGCTGTACAAGAGTACCGTACGTCTAACAGTTCCAAGACAAATGTCTTTGGTTGTGATCATTACGTTGTCTCATCAGATAACTCCTTCTTTGTGGAATTCTGGGAGATGGCTTTTACTCCACAAACCACTTCTAGAACTGTTTCTGCAGCGCCCCCTTTTTCTTTGAGATAGAAAACTTGTTGTTAGAACTATTATTTGTATTAAACAAACAATGTTAAAGAGAAATCTGAAACCTATTTCCCTCACTGTGCCACTATCCAAAAGCTTTGCATGCCCTTGGGAGGTCCTGTCCCCACACTTTGGGAATAAAAGGATGGAATTTTGGTGAAAGGATGTGCCTGGTAGGCACTCTCTCATTTTACGCCACTAATGATCTCTACTTTCAGCTCAACAGATCAGAAATTTACCTAAAATTTTTATAATTTTGCCTTTAATAAAAATAATTTTGCTTTTTGGTGCCCCCACTGCTGTTACTCCAACCAGGGCTCACACCCTCTGTGGGAACTTATAGAAGTGAAACGACTTAAATAAAGTTTCTTTCAACGTTTTATTTAATCACATAGAAATAGGTCAAAGTTGGCTTTAAAGCATTGAAAATTAAACCGATTTCCATTTAAAGTTTGGAAAAATATCGGACATCTGCTCTGATTTTTTTATTTCTGATAAAATTAAAAGTACAACAGCTGAAAAAAAAACTTGTCAGAATTGTTCCAGACACCTAGAAGACGCCTATTAACGTGTTTAAAGTCATTTTTTAAATCGAATCAAATTTTGGAATTTTAACATCTTTTGGACATTCCCTCGGATGTGGATGGGCGGGGCCTGTCGGGCTGTCCACTTCGGTTTTAACTCTGTGTGGTGGAGGGAAGACACAGACTGGCTGCCGCTCCTCTGCTCTCCTCTCTCTAAAGTCAACATCCCTAACTCTGAGAACCGCAGGTAAGACATGAAAACTCTCTGTCCGTCAGTCACCGCACAAAGACGGCTTCAGTTAGCCCGCCGATGCTTTAGCCAAACTTTTCAGTCCGCTGCTTTGTTTTCCGCTGGGAAATGATCACATTCTGTGGCTCAGCTATGCGCATGTCATGCAGCTTCCTCGTCCATTGCGTCTCTCTCTGTTGTTTTACGCTCTGCCGTAAACTGATGTAAAGTCATCTCTGTGAGCACTTGTAATCTTTTTTTGTTGCTCTGGCTGTCACGTAAAAGTTTCGTGAGCTGCACAGAGATCGTTTAGGTTCTTGTCTAGCCGTAGATTAAGGGGAAGGGAGGGGTGAGGAGCAAGGAGGGGGAGAAAGGGGGGCATTCAAACCCCAAACACTGTAATTCATCCTCAGCAACCTCGGTCCAGGCGGTTTTTGGGGCCTAAAATTGTAAAAGGTTGAGTTATCTATGTCGACCCACTGTAAAGTAAAGTACGTAAAAAAGGTGAAAGGAGACAATTCTCTTACACAAGAACTCAGTTGGAATGGATTTTTATTGAATGCTGTGATTTGGTTGAGTTTCTAGAGAGTATTATGGCAAAGATGGTTTGTAAACATGGTCAGTAAACACAACACATTGTATACAAAGTCACTCTATAATCAGTCACAAAGAGTTCTATACGGTTCATCTAGGAGTTGGTGCTTGCCTTGCTGCTGGGTGTGGTTTGCTGTTTAAATTGTGGTATTTGTAGTTGTTTTGATCATTTTGTGATCTTTCGATGTATAAAAAACAATTTTTCTGCTATTGGTAATCAGTAAATTTTCGATTTTCTGCTTATTTATAACAATGCAATATAAGTATTAAGTAGGTACATACGTTCCAAATATGCAGCCTAAGAGAGTTCTGATTTATTTTCTTTCTTGCTCTTTTACTTGCTATGTTTTGTAAAACAGATTTTCTTTTATTATAAATAACTCCTTTTCTTGTGTTACCACTTGAATGTGTAAGGCAGAAAGAAAGCTTGGCGCCATTTGGCGGGGTTGCCATTACTGTGTCAATTAATGGCGATTATGATTTAATTTCAATATAGCCGCAGGTTTTAAAAAGTTGCCTCTATAAACTCATTACAGTATGATGTAAATGAATGATGTACTATAACGTATGAACCCAATTATAGAGTCTTTTAAAACTGTACACTGTTTATTGCAGTTTTATGTCATCTAAAAAAATGGTAATACATTGTTTAAAATCCTTGTAACCAAATTCTTAAAAAATCTAATCTCTATCTAAAAAAATGGTAATACTTTGTTTAAAATCCTTGTAACCAAATTCTACAGTAGACTAACTACTGCAATGCTATTTACTCCCCTGGCATCTCCTTGGACTAAAACTCCAGTACAAATGTACAGAATTAAATGACCCTGGTTTTGGGTTTTGTACGTTACGGTACCTAACCCATTAGGTAGATGTGATATATATATACATATATATATATATATGTCTGGCAAACTCCAAGCACTGAAGGTACACAAAGTGTGAGACCTACTACAGTATAAGGGCAGAAAGTAGAGGAACCTGTTGAAATATGACATGTAAAGTTGATAATGCACACGCTCTGCTCCGAGGCAGGTATGGTTTCCACTCAACCCTATCCAGCCCACACATGCACCTGAGCCATCAAAGTTGAGCACAGTATCACACACTGAGTCACACATTGCAATTGTCCTTTAGTACATGGATCTGAGACATGTCCGCCATCTCCTGTAGACAAAGCCATAGGGCAGCCTTGCAGTAAAAAAAAAAGTTCTAGTCATCCACACATGAATCCACTTCTCATCATTTCAAGGTGTCACGTTCAACAACTCCACTGCCCTCGGGGTGAAAACACTCCAGCTTTCATTGTACCTGGGCCGGGCGTCAAGCCTTTTGATCTCAACTTCATTACATCGTATTATCTGTGAAATGGAAGCATGGAAAATGGAAAGGGTGAAGGTTTTTTTTTTATATAAGTTGCAGGCCCAACCTGGTGACAGATGACTGGACTAGGCTCTGGAATGCAGCGCACAACAAATCCTGCAGTACAGTAATGTTTGTTTAATGTGCCCCCGTTCCCAACCTTGTAACTTCTCCATCATCGTTGATTAGCCACAGAGTGGAGTGAACTTGACTATTTATTGGTTACCTCAGGTTATGCATTTACAACATTTAACCAGAGCTTTCCACAACATGTTCAAATCAAATCAGAAACGACTCTGTGTTAAACACTTAAGATGCCTTTCATTAACTAGTAGCTGTTTATTGATTCAGTACTGGTCTACGTCCTTTGGGTTATCTAAATGTTAAATTATTAAAATAAAAAGCAGAGAATGTTGAGTTTCTAGTATGAAAAGATGCAGTAATTTTTGAGATTTATGTTTTATTATGGTCGCTGGTAAAGGTTTTGGATTTGTGCTCACGCTCTCTCTCCATCTCCAGTTTTAGTATTTGTCTTACTCTCTAAGTTAAACCTGGATTGACCAGTCTCTTTTTCTTTACTTCCTTTTATTTATCTACCTACTGCACCAACATTCTTTTACTACTTCCTGCAGTTCATTATTGTCCTGATGCCTTTTTGGGTTGGGTTGTATAATCTGTCAGCCAATGTTGAGACTTTTGTAGTTTTTGTTATCCAATAAGGTCTATGGTAATTAGTAGGGGTGTGTATTGGCAAGAATCCTGTGATAGGATACGTATTATGATAGAGAAGCAACAATATGATAAATTGTAATATGCTGTGATACTATAGACATGACAATATATTATTTTTTTTTAACAATTTACTTGTAGGAAAACTCTCAGCATACTAAAATTGTAGCGCAGGGATCTACATTTATAATCCCTAGAGAGGAAATAAAGCAAAATAAAATTAACCAACTCCATGAATATTTGCATGTAAATAAATAATCAATACACTACTGTAGAATATCAATATAGTATAAACTTAAATATCACTATGTTTCAGTCTATTGATATTTTCTTTCTTCTTCCTAGAAATCAGTTAAACAACTTTTAAATGTCCCTTAAAACAGTCAAATTGTATTTTTTTTTTTAATTTTATTTCTTTTGGCAGTTAAGTAAACAGAATGCTTATATGAATCGCTAAATTCAGTCCCAGTGCTCTCATCAGCAGCCTAAATAACAGCCTTAGTTAGAAATCTCACATTTGGATTCGCCACCCCCCGCAACCCCCAAGTCTCACATGCATGTTCACACAAATTCATAAATTCTCACACTGCTATTTCCAGGCTTAATCACACAGAAAACAACAGGGTTTACAGTCAAATGCATGTAGTGCTGCGCAGCGTGCTTAGAAGGGGATTTTATAATTGGCATGATATGATATGGGTGCAGAGGAATCTGGAGGTAATTGCACAGAGTGATAACAGGGGTTTGGCAGTGCAGAGCGTGAGCCAGGGCCAGGGTTAGGGCTGGGCGGGCAGGATGTAGGGAACGCTGCCATGCATTTCCGGAGTCTGGCTCTGCTCTGCACAGTGCGGTGAAGGCTTCTAGTTACTGTATGCTGCCTCACTGTTACTCTTACTGTCTCTCAGACTCTGGTCATTGTTAAATTCTGGATCTAGTTTTTACTCTTATCTTCATTCCATCTGTAAACACTAGCAGCATTCATTGTTTTGTTTTTGTTTTTTTACCATAGACACTTATTTGTTTATGTGTATACAGTGTATTTGAATACTTTGGCATAGTTGGATCCGAGTACAAATCCAGAGTTTCCCTGCAAGGCAGTAGTTTCTTTCCACCACTGAGTAACAGTAGCCAACCAAGTGGCAGACTGAACTGAAAAGAGCGTAAACCTTGCAACAATGTATTTTTTTTCAACACTGATGATTGGATGGTTGCCTTTGGATGGACTGGCCGAGTAGCCAGAGTGTACCCCACCTTTCCTTGATCACTGCTGGTATTGGTTCTGGTTTCCCACACAACCCTGAGCAGGATTATATAAAGACAATAGATGGGGTTTTTTTGACCACTCCGGTAGATATTTACTGTAACAGTGTAAAATCTTTAAAAAAATTTACCTTCTGAAAAATAAAGGCCATACAGTCCCAGCAAACAGTGTTTTGTTTTTTCTCTTTTCTAAAAAGACAAATAAAAGCAGTAAATCATTGGTTATTGTTTAATAAACATAGCATTTTATTAAATTGTTTGTATTTTCTCACATTTCTTCCTTGTAATATCTGTTAACCCTGTGGTAGAGAAAGCACATTCTGTTCTCACAGTGCTTTTGTCATCTTTGTCCACATTTTGCTCCTTGGGAGAAATTGTTTAGGTTTTAGGTTTGTGTCTCCTGGACAACACCAGGATCAGAACAGGGTTTCACTCATTTGAAGTGATTGTGATCGACATGCAGACAGTGCTTATGTGACTGTGGCTGTGGACACCGGCCCTACAGCGTACTTGTTCTGCCCTCCTGCCCCCTTTTTTTCCCCGCCCCTCGCCGTTGAATTTGATAGCATGTAATTTGAAAGTGCTGCATCCAGAACCGCACACTAAGTTGTATAATATGGCAAGCTTGGACAGACCGGCAGATCTTGGGGTTGGAGGAGAATTCTTAACTCTTTCACTGAGTAAGAACAGTCAGCTAGTGGTGGACAAAAACTGGTAGTGCTGCTTAATTGCTTGTGAAGTCACGCAAGGGCATGAAACCTTAGATGATGTTTATTTAGGGTCTGGAAAATGTGCTGTAGGAGTTTTGCAGATGTTTGTGATAAAATTCAGAATTCCTGTTATTTGCCACTAGGAAAGAAAAAAAAAGTCACATGCCATGAAATTCCCTCTGTGTAATTTAGACTTAAATTCTGTTTGTTGTTCCTCATTATGCAACCAAGATGACATGGAACGGTTCTGTTGATGCTTATCTACGTGGCTCTTGGACATTTCACTTCTTTTTACCTCCACATCAAAAGTGGAGCTGATTGAAGTGCTTTTCTCACCTGTTTATTCACCAGGAAATTAAGTTATTTTCAGGGCTGAATACACTGTGCTTGAAAGAAGAACTTCACATTGATCTTTTTCTCCGAGGATCCATATCTTCACTGACTTTCTTTCCAAACTATTTCCCAAACTTTGATTCTCCTGACTGGAGCAGTCATGTGGGCATGAAAGACCTGTGAATTCCTCTGGGTTTTAGTCACACTCTGATGAAGAAGGTTCGTTAGATCCGCCTCTCACTCATGTTGTTTTCTTACTTTAAAGTGCTATCACTCAAAGCCAGATTGCCTAATAGTCAGCGTGGCATGTCGGTGCTGGTAATTGACATATTGGGCAACCATCTGGTAGTTACCAGATGCCAAGCGCCACAAAATGTTTCAACACTGTAAAAACATAATTGTATTTCCCTCTCACTTAATCTTTCTTTTCTAATGGATGATGATTGAACTCATGAGGTAGTCTTGCCTTATGTCTTAAAAGGTGAAAACCTCCCTCTGCTATTTACTTGGTTTGCATTTTCTTGTGGTTTTTGCGGATGATTGATTGCGCGAAAGTGAGGTCAGTGCTCCCTAGTGGTTCGTCTGATGTCATCCCACAGAGATGCCTTTTCTGCCTTTCAATCCCAAAGCAGGTTTTTTCAAAGAAGTGTACAACACCCCTCGATAGGGACATTTAGCCTCTAGGCTTCTTCTCATCTGATAAAACAAGCACAGGAAATGTCTCTGTTAGCTGATTGGCCTTGTGTTTTCCTTTAAGCGTCCTCCCACTGGGATGTCAGACGTGCACAGTGTGTTTCTGTAGGAGAGAGACCACCTTACTTGTCCTTCCACAAACAGCTAAATTAACATTTTCTACCCTTTTCTTTGACACCAATATATTCTACTTCAGCCCCTCCCTCACAAATAAAAATGATTGGACTACGATTCATTTCCCCTTCACACCATTCTTCCCTACAGGTTTTCCACTGTTGACATCTGTTAGCCTCCCTATCATCTATGTGACATAGTGGCCTCAAAACTAAACAAACATTGCTAATCAACAGCCAGTTTCATTACTTTTAAATGTCCCATATATTAAGGTAATGGGGGAATTAAAAGAACATGAAGTAGAAAGAAACATAATAGTAAGGTGATGTAAATTCCAGTGGTGTGTGTGGGTGTGTGTGGGGTGAAAAATATCACTGAATGTAAACACATGACCAATGAGGTCATGTGTTTACACAGTTAGCAAGGTTAACTACTTCATGAATCGCATAGGGGGCAGATGGGGTGGTGAGCTAGTGACGTTTGGACCCACTGGATTTATGCTTGTGGCAATTGAGTTGCTGCTGTGAATGTTGATGAGTTCAGGGCGAATGTGAAGAACAGTTCAAACAATTCCACGAGAGACACTTGACATTGTGGAGTGAGACCTGGTGCGAGTGAGATTAGATTTGTGTTTCATTATGAGAGCAGTAAAGACTTACTTCATGCACAAATAAAACAAGCTAATGTGTCCTTACATGGGTGTTCATGAGTCAGACCTAATTGGTTGGAAAAGCACAACACAGTGAAGAGTTTTTATTGGTTTACCCCAAGTTCCAAGCTGTAAAAATCTCAAATAAAATCGAAATCTCTCATAGTTACTCTGATAGTCAACATGCTTTTTTGATTATTGAAAATTAAATGATTTGTTTCATACTAAGTTCAGTTTGTGGAAATTGATTATCTATCTTATTTATCTACAAATACGAAGTTGTATTTCCCCGGTACACTCTTAGTTGAGATAAAGTATGACAAGTTGTTCTTTTGCTTGTAATTGCAGTAAGGCAACGTTAACGTGCTCATTATTATTAATATCAGTGCTGTGCAACATTAATGTGCCCCTAATGCAACCCCACTGCGAGTCATTGTTATATATATTTTGAAAAAAATATAGGTTAGAGCCTGGAGCTCACACATACAGTTGCTGAGCCCCTTTTCTGGCCTTGAGGTCTATAATACTGTCAGAATATTACAAATTAATAAGATAAATAATAATAATAAAATAAAAGCACACGTTGTAAGTTGTTAAAAAAAGGGGAACCCTTTTATATCAACCTAGAAGGTTAAACATTAGGATGATGAGGGGAACCAACCTAGAAGGTTAAACATTAGGATGATGCTTGGGCTCTGTAGTTTCCACAGCTACTGTAGTACTTGGGTAAGTGGTGATAATAGAACCTCAATATCATCGGCAGGTTGAGTTGTGGTGATAACAGACCCTCAATATCATCGGCAGGTTGAGTTGTCATAACCAGGAAACAATAGGGATTTTATTGTCTGTCAGTAACGGCTTCTAGGTCAGTTCGGTAGTGTGTCCATTAAAAAGAAATTTGTAGCGTCCACTGAAGGATGTTGTGTTTCCGGAAACAGCACTGGTCAGCAAAAAGTACAGAGTTGAGTAATTACTCTTGCAGTTCATTAGTGTAAGTACCACACATCTATTTGATCCATTGTTAATGTAACAAATTGATCAAAGCAACTTTGAATGATTCATTACTAATTACAGTGCAAATAACACATTTTCATTCGATCAGGCCACTTTCTAATCTTTGTAATGACTCTTCAGAGGGTGATGGTTGTTGACTACGTTACAATGAATACACATTTTACTCCTATGAAAAAGAGAGAGGAGAAAAGGAAATCAATTAGCCGAGGCCAATGCCAATATCCCAACAGGCTGCCACAAATGAATCAATATATGGAAAACACTTGTTGTTTCTCAAAGCCATCGCAGACTGTTAATTCAGACTGCAGGCACGTGTCCTGAAGCAAAGCACACAGTAATGTAAATGGTGTGTATCCATTGTTACCACCTGAATAAGCAAGTGCGGAGGCGGCACAGTCTGAGGTTCGTGTCAAGGCTGCAGTCAGGAGTTGTGGTAATTGTTTAAGAGTGCATTTATAGAGTCTACTCTTTGTGCCTCCTAATCAGAGGCACACAAATGCACATGCATTTGGGCGTGCTGGTGTGTTATACAGGCAAGGAAAAAGACAGGAGTATAAGGGGGTGGGGGATTGGTTGAAGTAGCACTCGGCTGCTGCCATGCTTTCCACTTCACATGTCTTGACTGGGTAAGATAAGTGGTGGTGTTGTGGTCTGGGTTGAGTTAGAGATTAAGGTTGGAGATCAAAAGAGCTGAATGGCTAATGGTGAGCCATTCTTCTCTCAGCACTGCTAACAAATGCAGACTACGTTTCAGGCACACGCTCACCATTCACTCTCTGTGTGTTTGAGACATGAATACCAACGACTAATCCAAAAAATTTAAAGCCATTGCTCTTTTTCTATCCACCAGATGAACTTAATCCTGATAGATTAAGCATGTTCTTTGTGTTTGTTTAGTATGCATAAGGTAATTTGTCAATTTATGTCTGTACTGAAACTCAGGTCTGCCACGGGCATGAGATCTTCAAAAATATGGTCCCTTAAAACCTTTTTAATCAGATAATGTTCAACAGTGATGGAGGCTGGCATAGGAGAACTCTTGACCTCATCAGAGATCTGTCAATGGTGATTGGGAGAAACATTCAGTCAGGATTTTTTTTATTGAATAACCCCAGATCTGTACTGGAGGGGCTTTACTGTAATAGAGCAGCTCTGCAGATGCTTAGGTGACAGCCAAATGGTCCTTGTTAAACTAAGAGCTGATTCATACTCTATGCTCTACTGCAGTTAGACCTTGTTGGAGGCTTATGGTTTGGCTTTAGCGCTTAAGTCCGGTCACAGTTATTGGACAAAGATACACATGTGAGTGATTAGCGAATCAGCCTGGAAAGGTTCGCAAATTTTCCAACATAAAAAAAGCAGATGAATACAATTTCTTCAATAGAAAGGACGATACAGTCTTTCTTCTGCCAATTCTGTCTGTGACATCCGCTTGATCTACATATGCACTCAATAGATTGGAGCAAAACTCCCTTGCAAATGCATGTTAGCACCTTGGCGGTATTGGGAAGACTTCCGTGCCAGTGCCTTTCAGGGATAATTGCTGTGGGTCCCATCAACTCTGCTTATTTACCCAGTACACAGCTCTCAGCACAAATGGAGCATGACGTCTAATGGAGTGCGAGCGTGGATTAATTACCCCCACATTTAGACTAATGGCTCCTTCTCTTCTGATTAATGATGACACATGTCACACAGAGGTGATGCACAGTTAAAACATATATAACTTCACGCCAAAATAATATAATTAAATTGGAATTTATTTCTTCCAACAGACTGCATGTTTTAGGATTTAACTGTCGAACAAGTAAACCCAACACAAACACGCCTTGGTGGGCCTTTATTGGTATGAAGACTGGCCAAAAGCTGTTGCCCTTCCAGGCTCCTTCTGGGAGGTCATATCTGGTTTTATTGTCTTTCCTTTCCAATTCCAATTGAACAATACTGAAATATTCTGTTGGAAATGTAACTGACAATTGAGTGTGTAATACTGTGTGGGAAATGGTGGATTTTCTGTGGCTCCACTTTGATGAAACATCTTTCAAACCCTGGCATCGTAAGATGATTTGTCAATATAAGGTTGCAGATGCTTATTGCATAATTTAAAAGCAGCTTTGGCAACAAGTCAACCACAGTAGAGGACTAAGACTATCAACATTATCTAAAGTGCTGTGGTGTGCTATTTAATCCACTCTATACTAAAAACTTGACTAGGTTCTAATAATGATAATAATTAAGCTTTTTACAGTCTTAAGAAAATATGACATGTCACACAGAGGTGGTGCACAGCTCGGGGTGACGTTACAATTAGGCTAATTTCATTAGTGTAAATGTAGTTTATTAAGCAGTCATTTTATTGAGTATAATAATGAGTACTATTTAAGACATAAGGAAATACTGTAGGTTATCATTTACTGTATGTTATGTAAGTTTTATTATTTAGACCTCCCAACACAATAACGTTGCCTAAAGGAGGTATTATTGTGCCTCCCTTGCTATTGGACTAAATACTGTACATCAACATTAAATCAATGTGTTCCCTGGCCTGACTTGGCTTTCTTTACGAGGGAGTAAATGATGTTAATGATTCATTTAGTCTGACATTGAACAAGGCACAAAAACGGCAGAGTGCATAGGAGGGATGGGATGTGGTGCCTACTCTGGCTGGCCTCATTAAACCTGCCCTAATGAGAAACAAAACACCCAGACACTACTCTAGAACAATGGGTTCCTGTTAGCAGTCTGTCCAAAGTATGACGAAGTCTGGCTAGCATCCCAGCAGATTTTTCACAAGACCCCATATGCCTAAGTCAAGCCCCAAGATCCTCCATGCCACTCACTCCTGTGACAGCCACCTGGAAGACCACCTTGGAAAATGGGCCCCTATTAGTTCAGGTTAGACTTAATGACCAGTAATGTTACACTGGCCAACCCAAACTGTGCTAGAGGGCTTTGGGCAGGCCGAAATGAAATACCAGTCACTCAAGCTTTGAACATAAACACAAGGTGGGTGGTGGGCGAGGGGGGTGGGTAGGTATGTGACGGAGGTGCCTGTAAATGATGTGGGTTCAGTCGTACATCTGTGCAGTAGTGGTGCAGAGTTGACCAAGGTGGAGGAGACTGTTTTAAAATAGATGCGATTTGTGAAACCTCTGAGGGAAGATTATTATCTGTGGGAAGGTCAGCTGTGGTCTCTGATTTATTCCCATTTAGCTGAACTACTTGGTGAATCGAATCTCATTCACCGTTCTGCCATCAGCTTAAAAAAAAAATCTTAAAGCAACCTCGATGAAGCAACCAGAGAAGCCTCGTAAGAGCACCACTCAATTATTTACAATTTCATGGCTGTCTGAGATATGTGTTATTCTAATAAATTTGGGAATTAGGAGGCTTAAAGACTGCACATGTATTAACCTCTAAAGCTGAATTTTATCCTTAATTTGGCAGTAAGTGTCACATCACACTAATGGCATGCAATGATGATGGTGTCTTCTGTAGTCTAAATATGTGTGTAGTCTAGAATTAGCACAGCCATTTGGAGGAAGAAACTCCAGCATTTTAAAATGGTATGCCTCAACCAGCCGCTGAATAAAATGACTCTCAGCCATGCAGCTGGATGAATGAGCTGCAGAGCGCCTAGGCCTGCAGCAGACAGACACAGAAACGTAGCGTAACCTGCAGTGGAAGAGACAAAGACGGAGAAGAGGGGGAGCTTTGTTATGTCTCATGAAGCTCCAGGGTTTCCTGAAATTTCTGGCAAGGGATTTGCAGCCACATAACCACAGAAGGAAAGAGAGAACAGAGATAGATACGGGGTAACTATCCTGAAGGTCTCACTTCAAGGCTAAAATGGCTACTTTGGGGCTGTGAAATGCAGGTAGTGAGATATAAACAGTTTGAACCAGCAGTCACCTCAGGACTGACAGGAACAATCTACACAGTACAAACACACATGCTGGGAAGGCGCAGTATAAGGTAACCTGTGCTATCCACTGTATATCCTCAGATTAAAGACCTCGGTTTATGCCCTTTACCTCGGGTGGGATTGATGGGCATCTTAGCTGGCCGTCTGCCACGGTAATAATACCAGCTGCACAGCCGGCACAAAAATGAGATCTGGTAAAGCATGTGAACCTTAGCCCTGCAGAGTCCTGAAAGGATTTGCGGTATGAGGAGACTGGAATGTATTTTTTGGAAGGTGAGGTGCGCTCCCTGTCACTTAGGGAATGTGCATCTCCTGATGTGAAAGCTATTCTTAATACTTTAATGTCTTAAAACATGATACTACAGACCACAGAAATAAAAAAAAACTAATATTTTCCAAAGGGTGGGCTATTGGTTTGGATTTCATGTCTGTCTGCATAAGGATTTAGGTTTTCTTTCATTTGTTAGCATCAGCAGGTCGGCAACAAACAGGAACAGTTGTGTATTTCACGACACTGTGCTGAGTCTCTTTTCTTTACAGCTATAGTTCTGCTTTATTATAAAGTATTTTAAATAGTATCTGTGTTTTTCTGCTCAGTCTGTTTAAATCCATCCTTAATTAATACGGCAATTTCTGGAAATACATAGCACAAGAATTAGAGTTAAAATTTAATTTTCAGAAATTTGCTACATAGTGTTTAGTCATTTACTAACAAAAAAAATTACATTGATTTATTCTTTCACAATTCCTGTTCATATTGCACCAGGATCACCTAGACCAGGAATAAGTAACCTCCAGCTCCCTCTTCAGCCTCTTGTCATTGACTCGTTGAAAGATCATATTTAAATATTGTGAATTGGCAAAGTAATAAATAAGAAAATCTATTTTACATTTTACACCAACATTTCAGCTTGTTTGCTAACAGCAAAGCATCATTATGACAGTGTCCTCATTATCAAAATATTGGTGACTTCATGAAGGGATTAGAATGTAAGTCATGACCCAAAAAATAATTGATTTTTTTCTTATCAGCACATTTTGGAAGAAAATGCACCATCAATGCTGTCATCAAGTTATGGTGAACCTCATGGAAATGTATGATGAATGTATGATTTTCTGCTCTAATTTGAACCAAAACATTGTCACTGTCAGTAAAAACAGGGTATCAGATTTCACGTTACCACTCAGAGTAGTGTCCTCGTGACCGTCTGACCGTCCATGTCCCCCTGCTGTTGGTACATATACATGGCATCAGTCTTGTCTTTGTGCTGCTGAAAGAAAGCCTCCGCTGTGATTGTGCCTCAATAGGACTGAATTGAGAGCACTGTCAGGGAGTCACTCCTCCTCCCCCTCCTCTTCTACCTCCTCCTCTCCTCATCCACTGTGAGTAATAGACCCTCTCGGTCAGAACATTGCTCGTCCACCGCCACGCCCACCGTGCCACCCTCTCCTTAATCTCTTCCTATCTCTCTCCAGGAATGCAGCCCCTTATTTTGAAAAATACCTTGTCATGTAATACCCGTGAAAAGCTTCGGAGCACACTTCAACTAACCGGCCCACTGCTGCATGATTTACTGACTTGTGTGTTGGAACAAGGCAGGACAGATCAGGATTTGTGGCTTTTTATAGAGATTTGAATAAATATGTTCTCTCTGGAAGTGATTGTCTCTGCGCTTTCAAATACTTCACTGCTGCATGTGCATAAAAGGCAAATTTGTGTGAAAATTTGCAAACAGCTGTCAGATTTGTTTCTTTCCTCAGGCTCCCAGCGTGTGGGGGCATTGCATCATGCCTTTTAGTCTCATGTATGTTTCCATGTAAGGTATGTTGGGAGAACGTCCATTCTCAGCATGGTTTGAGCCAACCACATAAATCACTCTGCTGTGTATATTCCTTCTTTTTTTTTTTTTTCTTCCAATTTTCTCTCGTCCTTTCACCAAAGTGTAATTTGTCTCTGGGCACTGAGAGCCAGCCTGACCAGATCGTGGCTTTTTTAAAAGGCTTGTCACAAATGTTCAGCAGAACTATTTTCTTTGCGCTTTCTTACCTAAAAAAAAAAAAAAACCCACATAAGGAACCTCTCACGCTTTATGAGAAATACATTTTTATGTTCAAATTATTGTTCCCAGTATGTCATGTTACTGCCTTGCTCCAGAGGTTGTGCCGTAAGTCTGAGTCATGCTAATCACGCACACTTTAACATTTTCATGCCTGAGGTTTGGTGCCTGTCCCTGTGTGTGACTTACACTCATTTAAAATGGTAGAAGCGCTGGTTTCTGGCTACAAGTTTGGCCTTCAGTAATGCCTGTTTTTTTTTTGTTTTTGTTTTGTTTCAGTTGAGACTGTGATCTTTTAGTTACGGTTTTACAAGACTTAGACTTTTCCACGCAGATTGCTTAGGAGCACAGTTTTTAAGCACAACAGAGGTCATGTCGGTCCCGTCCTGGCCTGGTTTTTATCCTTTTCCATTCAAGTCGGCTCAATTGCCATCACATGGATAAAGTGTTCTCTAGCTGCAGTGTCGGCAGTAGCGGTACTTAGACTAAGACCTGCCATATATCAAGCCTACGGTTCCTCCGGTCTCTCTGGTCAGCTCACTAGTAGCAGATTAATGTCCTGTTGAGGAGACACAGCCTCCTGCACAGGCCTCATTTACGCTGACAGAACGCAGGTGTCAAGACGCTTTGTCCTTAAGGGACAAGCGAAGGCTACTCTTCCCCTGACTATAAAACCCCAGACGGATGAGGAAGGGGTTTGTGACAATTTATTTGTTTATGTTCAGTGTACAAGACCTTTTTTCCCCTTGTAGGTCTAGAAAATCTTGAAGGATGCAAATATAGATTTAGAAGCTGATTAAATGCTCAGATGAGGATGTTTTTTCCCCCTCATTGAATTGAAATCGCTATCAGCCCTTTTGTGCTTACCTTCATTCAGCAGCTGTTTCTCATTATTTATTTACAGTCCTTGCTAATAGAATTCAAAGAAGTGACCTTAAAGGTATTGAATGAGTGTAGTGTGTGTATTGTGCAGCCATCATAGTTCTGCTCAGTTTAAAAGGAAAATACTCCCACACTAACCATGCTAATGTAATGAACACAGTTTTGCCAAAAGCATGTAGCAAGCCCAGGGGAATCCACGCAAAACCAGAAAAAAATGTATTTAAATTAAATATGTATTTAATTTTTTTTTAAATCACATATGAATATGTGACCAGTATATGTCCAGATACTTATGATGCTCCGAGCCAGACCATTTTTTTCAGACTCACAAGCTAAAGCTAACATGTTGTTAGTGTAGAAGTACTTTAAAGTGAGCAAAGAAAGCTCCAAGCTCGTTATTTTATTATAGATAACAGTTAGGTTAATGCCATCATACAGCCAAACAGGCTAATTAGCATTTCAAGCCATGTCATGCTATGTTAGCAGCCTGCTGCGGGCCAACCCTAAGGCAACAATTTGTTTTGCGTAACGTTAGGTTAATGTCCATGCTGAATTGAACCGCTGAGTGAATAGAAAGCCATCTAATGCACAAGCTTTTGTTTGTCAGATAGTTGGCTGTTTTTGTGTAGGACCTCATTCCAGTCACCAAGCACTATTTTCAGAACGTGCAGTTAGTGTTTACTTTTTGAAGGAGTTCTGAATTGACAAAAACATTGGTTTATTTCTACCAAATGTTTGTAACAGATTCACTAAATGAATATGTTATTCACAACAGAAATGAGCTTTACCTACTCTTTAGTATGTTGTTGCTTCTCCCTTATATTATCTTGTTCTGTGTGTTAAATGGTGTTCTACACTGACTGCTTTTCCACCAAAAAGAATAGACTTCTTCTCCACGGGGCTTACATACGACGTGCTGTGCAGAGAGGCTGATGTAGAACTGACGCCTGGATGTGAAAAAAGCTTGTTCTTTTTTTTATTTTGCACCTAAAAATGAAATGTCAATTCAGGGAACAGATCAATGTGCCTCTTTGTTTCACTGACTCGTTGTTCATACAGGTGTGAGCATTAGCGGTCACTGATGTGTCATGGCAGCCCTGCTATCACCATCAGTCATTGCTGTTTTGAGAGTTGATTCCGTGGCCACGGTGCAGTGAGGGTGAGAGCTCTATCTCTCTGTGTACACAGCACACGCACAAAAAACCCTTCCCTTTTTTCCCAGTTTGGTTACGGGAAAAGGCAGCATTTTTCTCTCCATATTTGGTCATATGGAGCTCTGCCAGTGTGCAGTAGCCTTTTGATGGCGTACAAACATCCCTATTTTGTGTGGGATTTGTGCTTTTTGGAATGCATTTTTACCAATTCTGCCTGATTGTAGGTATAGCATCTGAACTTTGAAAGGGGACACAAGGATTTTTTTTTTTAAAGGCCTGGACAGAAATTGCAATTGGCTCCAGTTGCTGCCTTCCAAAAGAATTTGCCTTTTTACTGTCTAATTTATGATTATTGTGGTAAGAATCCAACTCCTAATGCAAATAAGCCACTTAAAACCAACATATAAAAGCAAGACAGTGTTTCATGCATCGGCCAACAGTTACATTAACTTCCCGGGTTCCTTTTCTAATTCAGTAAAGTGGCTCATCAGCTGACAAATAAGAATGTACTTTTTAATCTCACTGCCTTTTCTTTAAATTGTTTTGGGTTTGATTTCCCACACTGCTGATGTTGTTTTCACTTAAACCCTTTCACATGTGAGAACACTGCCAGTTGAAATGGTGCTTAAACCCATCTGTGAGTTTCAGATGATGGATTTGGCATGTTCAGGAATTGTTTTCATTGCAATTTAAGTGTGACTTAACTTCAGGCATGATGTTGGAGAAAACAAACACACACACACAGCATGTGTAAAAACATTAGCAGGTGAAGTGCAGGTGTTTGAAGCTGTCTATCAATTGTAGAGCAGTGATTCTTAACAATAGGGCCGTGGGCCGAACTTGGGCCACCAGCACCACCGAGAGGGCTGCAAAAAAAACTTTCATTTTTACACCTGTGGGCTGTGAGGGCCGCAGGACTGCATAGGTTATCAACTGAAGACATCAGTGATTATTATCCTTGAGAAGCTCAGTTACAATGCAGCTTTCAACCATGTGGTGGCAGTAATGCATCAGCAGTTTTTTTAACGAGCTCCAATAATCAGAGAAGAAGACCATCGTCTTCTCTATGCTAGCTGTAGAAGTAAATATGGATACTTTTTTAAAATGAAAAAATTATGCACATTGTGCGGACCACACAAAAGTTTACTTTTTTGCCTAGGTACAATTCCGAACTTTCCGAATGACATTGATATTTAATGGGCCTCGAGCCACTTTGTACGAAATTGGGCCTGAAGGTCAAAAAGGTGGTAGAGAATGGTCCTGAAACTTATGGATGGAACCCTAGGAATGTGACGAACAGTGTGAAATTCCCGTCCATGTGTGGGACCAGTGGAGGAACAAATATTTAAAGAAAAGTGAGTCATAGTCTAAATATACAACAGATGAGAGTGTGCACAAAGTGTAGTGAGGTTATCTAGCTCGCAGTGGAAAATAAAACAAAATCGCTGCAAAGAGCAATTTGTTTTTATCAAAGCACCACAGGAGTTTATAAAATATCAGACTACAGCATGCTTTCCATGAGCTGCCTGTCACTTTGAAAGATAATTTAAACAAGTGCTATTTGTAGTCATGATATTTTCCTCTCGGTTGCATCTCCACACACCACTGAAAATGATATTTCAATATTTCCAATTTCTTGGATGGGAAAGGTTTTATATTTTGCAGTTTTTGTGAACATTTTCTGTCAGTTCTACAGCTGTGGAGAACCGTAGGTATAATAGAACCTGGCTTAGTTAGAGTCAATAGAGACTTGAACATCTGCTTAACTTGCCAAGTTTGACCAGATCATCTGAAAAAGGGACTTAAAACTAGAATCACATTCATTCTATTTCAAATATTTTACATAACATATATCATTTGTTTACCAAACTACACACTAGGACTCTGGGTTGAGGTCAGAGTCAGAGCCGTACCATCAGGCTTGACTGAACATAATATGTGTCAAAAGGATGTTTCAATATATAATATGAAAACAAATAGATTTTTCTGATGTTATTGGCTGAAAGCAGTGACACGTTGCTCTTAGATAGCAAGGATCGCTTCTTAGATTTCATAAAATAAAATTATGTTTCCTGTTTTGTTTTGTTTTTTTCAGCTTAGATTTCATAAAATAAAATTACGTTTCCTGTTTTGTTTTGTTTTTTTCAGTCACTAAAGGCCCATGTAATCCATAGATCTTAGCTTAGCCTAATCTTTAACATGTTGATGCTTCTTCATTATATTATTTTGCGTTAATTGTGGAACATATAAGTGTTCGATAATGTTGTTTGTTTAGAATGATTCTGCAATACATGTAGAGTGAAGTTAGTTAGCCTTCTTGGCTCTGTTAGCTTTGTTAGCTACCCCGATTACTTATTGTTTAGTTGTACAATTAATACTTTTGGCAGATGATTCTGCAGTAAATTCGGTGGTTTATGTTTTTTTTTTCCAGTACTGTTGAGTTTTGCTTGAAAGTATTCTGTAAAAAAAGAATATGTGTAACGCATCCCATTCATATTTTTATTGTTCGGTGTGTTTGGTGTGTGAACAGATAACCTCACTCAGTCAGTCAGTCAGTCTGTCTGTCTGTCTCTGTGTATGATTCACAGGGCACAGGGAGGTGTTATGGAATGTGAACCATTGTCTGGGAATGCAGGAGTCTCCTTTTTTCTTCACTAAATGGAAACTAAACATCTTTAACCTGTAGCTCTTTTTTACAACAATGTGAAGTTTCCCTCAGCCTTTTTTTTTTTGTCTAATCTTGAATCCAGAGACGACACAGACAGCAAATTGAGGCAGGATTGTGTGTGTGATCGGCACATCTTGTGTCACTAATGACAATGCGCTGAGACATCCAAGGTCCCAGGCCCATTTTTCCCAAAACCTCAAAACTGTCGGCACATTATTCCTCTGCATATCAATTGCAGCTATGGTATTAGCATCTCAGGTTTGCCTTTGAATAGCGTCTGTTCGTGCTCGGTGAAAAATGTCCTCATCAGAGTTGAAGAAGTCACACTTTTTGAAATTTTGTTTTCTGGGTATAGAGTGTTGGGAGAAAGCAGATGGTATTGAGATTGAGCTGAGCCTGTGATGCAGTTGGCCAACTGGTATCTGGCCTAGAATATATAGTTGCAGCTGAAGACCTCGGCCTTCAACAACAGAGGCCATTGTGGTTGATATTCAGCCTGCGGCATGCAGATTCAGACACAGACAAATACAGAAGGAAGCTTGGCCTCTTGGATACGGCTAGATCCGATAAAATTCAAACCCAGAGCTAAATGTAATTCATCGCCAGCCAATCCTGTGTCTTTTCATATTGCAGCTGAACACATACTGTAGTGTGCAGCTGTTGGCTATACTGCTGCAATTTGGCCTTAGAGGGAAGAAACCAGTGCACCAGAGAATGAAAATGAGTTGAAAGAGCCGGCTTCCTTGGGATTTTCAATGCAGCATTGATTCCTTGAGATTTAAAAGCATCAAAATCAATTTTTAACAGTGTAAACTAAGGTTTACACTGAATTTAAGAATTTAAGAAATAGGCTTTGGGTTCTTGAAAAAGGTTTTTGATCAGCCATTTTACAAAATGCCATTCAAATCCTTTGGCTTTAGCATTTTTTAGCTAGTGTATAGGCTTTGGGTTCTGCGAAAAATGTTTACTTTTGATCAGCCATTTTACAAAATTCTATTAAAATCTTTTGGCTTTAGCATTTTTTAGCTAGTGTTTTCTTTAAAACATTTCTCAGTCGCTTGTCATTATGTAATTCAAGCATTTTCATTTCTCTAAGTCAGTGCTTTTACTTGTAAATATGCTGTAGCCAAAGTTTTTTGCCAGCAGTTTTGTATATGTTTACATTATTGGCAAGCATTACACCATCAAATATGCTGCTACTTTTAATTGTCTGGCTGGTATTAGGCCGGCAAAAGGGGGGGAAAAGATTCAGCTTTAATCTGTTGTGTTAAAAAATAATAAATCCATTCATCCATCTTTGTCTTCTTATCCGTTACTGGGTCACGGGGGCAGCATTGTCCATGACCACCACCCAAATCACACTGCGCCGCACCAGCCCCTTG